AAATATTTACTAAAATGAATGGCTAAGTGTAGTTGATAAAATATTGAGACAGGTTAAAAACTGTTTATAATAGTAACAGCTAACACTTACTGGTCACTTATCAATCATTTATGCCTAATAAGGACTTTATGAGGACTGAAATCTTCTTATATGCACTCCTACTGGAAAATCAGCAAGCTGTCAACCTGAATTATATTTAATGAAAAAACTACAGTCAATGCCATAAAAATTTAACATTGGGTAGATTCTTAATAGAGAACGTGCACTGTGATGGAAGAAAGTGAGCCACCTCACCAGGCCTCTTAACCACATGTTGTTGTTTGATACGTGCCGTCGAGTCTGTTCCAACACAATTAGACCCTGTATAGGGTTCCTGAGAAACTACTGGTGGATTTGAACCACCAACCTTGTGGTTCAAACGGATCTTGCAGTCCAGTGCTTATCCTACAGCACCATACCAGGACTCCTCTTGATTCCATACTTACTGGGTAACCTGTTAAAAACAGCCAGTGTCCACAACTATAACTGAACAAACTGGTTCATGGTTTCAGGTTTCATACAGCTGTAAAATGATAATAATATTGCTGAACAGTCTGTGTGGGCTTCTCTAGCTTGCTAATCAAATTATTTATTTACTTCTTAGACATGAGTGCCTAGAAATTAAGAAAGGACAAAGAGGGAAGAAGCTACAAGTATCTGTCCCTGTTTACACTGTTTTGCCAAGGTAACCACAAAAAGCATCAAGAATGAAAAATTAACAAAATAAATGGATACAATAAATCAGAAAATACTTTATAATCCCTTTTGTAAAAAAGAGCTATCTGTGAGGACCCCAAGTGTTTCAAAATAAAACGAGAATTCTCAACAGAATTTTTACTGCTATGACCTTTTGAAAGTAGATTGCCAGCCCTTATTTCGAGGCATCTCTGGGTGGATTACAAGTACCAATCTTGATTAGTAGTTAAGTACTTAACCATTTGCACCATCCATTGACATCAAGTTAATTCCAACTCATAGCAACCCTGTTTAGGGTAGAGGGTTTCCAAGGCTATAAATCTTTATACGAGAACAAAATCTCATCTTTCTCTTATGGAGCAGCTAATGAGTTTGAAATATCAACCTTGTGCTTATCCTACAGCAGTGAATACAGTGGCAGTGAATGCAGTGAAGAAGGTTCTTGCTAAAGCCCATCTTTTCCTTTCTAAATAAAAGAAGAGGAAAAAAATCTCTTAGTGGAGCCTGGAGACCTATTCTTAAAAGGGGCAGGCAGTACATATATGAGGGCCTCCAGAAATAAAATCTCCAAAGTGAGAACGTCAGTGCAAATCTGAGACACCAAAATACTCTTTTTGGAAAATATACCCTATCAAGTGAATAAGGAAGATCGTAGAAGAATTGGTGCCTTTGAGTTGTGGTGTTGGAGGAGAATACTGAAAGTGCCATGGGCTGCCAAAAGAACCAATAGATCTGTTTTGGAAGAAGTGCAACCAGAGTGCTCCTTGGAGGCCAAGATGGCTAAGCTTCATCTCTCATACTTTGGACACATTGTCCAGAGAGAACAGTCACTGGAGAAGGATGTCATGCTGGGTAAGGTGGAGGGTCAGAGAAAAAGAGGAAGACCCCCAACGAGATGGATCGGCCAGGTGGCATCATTGATGGACTCAAGTGTGGCAGCGGTAGTGAGGTTGGCCCAGGATCAGACATTGTTTCATTCTGCTGTGCATGGGGTCGCTATGAGTTGGTTCCGACTCGATGGCACCTGACAACAACAACAACCCTATCAAGACTGTCGCTGCAAAGGCAATAAGAAAAACTCCAGGAAAGTGGCAACCACCTTCTTTATAACCCACTATAGCCATTTCAAATTCATCAATTTCTGCCAGGCCCTACCAAGTTTTGAGGTTGCATCTTGAGACTCACATTTTGAGGCTGGGATGGTGCTTCCAGAAAACAAGACTAACTGTTTCCATATCACTACAAGTAAAGAAATTAAAGGAAGGGTCTACTGCAGAAGACTTTTTCTAGAAAGAGATGTGCTACCTGTTCTGAGTGTTTAAGACCAGTCCCTGCCCCACGGGACCCAATGACAGTGTCATCTCAGGCCTCTCTCAGAGTTATCTCAAAGCATAGTGATGAGTGCATCGTTTAGTGCCATCGAGTCTGTTCCAACTCATAGCAACCCTGTATAGGTTTCCGAGGAGGGGCTGGTGGGTTTGAGCAACCAAGGGAATTTATGTTGTCAAGACTAAAGAAAAACAACCCCACTAAATTTTGAACAGATTTAGACTCAGACAACAAGTCCCTCTGTCTTTGTGGGAGGCTAAATGCCAGGAGCGGAGCTACAACTAATCTGAACCAATAGTCCATTCTGTCGATAAGCAGGTGCCAACTGCTCAGCCTTCCCTGACTCTTCACGCTACTGGGTTATGACATGATTAGTTTCACTAAGGTTCCTTGAGAGGGCAGAAGCTAGAGGGGAACACAGTAGGCAGGTGGGAAGCAAGGCCTGAAAGATGAGAAGAAAAATGGGAAGATTTAAATGAGAAACAAGCTAACCACTCAGATAGCTAGGCTGCCTGCTCAGGAGCCTTGAGATGAGATGAGGAAGGGCTGATAACATAGTCTACAGGCTCTGCAACCCTCCTTGGTCTACTTAGCCAGAATTCAAAAGACATATAGATGAAGGGGCCAGGTAATGCCATCCTGTATTCTCAGAGCCAGCCACAATAAAGGAGGCTAGATGTGCAACATTTCATATTTCTCCAATGTCAGGAAAGTTTTTGACTTACAGTGCTATGAACGAACAACACTCTACAACGAGCCCATTTAAAGGCAGCATACACGATGCTATAATTCAGCTATTTCAAAGGATAGTCATTGGCATATGGGTCAATTTAGTCTCAGGCCTGGGACACACATCCCAGGAACCAAGGTTAAATATTAGTTGCCACCAATTTGGCTCTGACTCATAGAGATCTTATGTATAAACAGAAGGAAACACTGTGTGGTCCCTGCACCATCTTCACAATCATTGCTATGTTTGAGCCTACACTGGTAGGCATGTTAGCAATCTATTTCATGGAAGAAATCCCTTTGTTTAAGCTAAGCCTCTACTGAACACCCACTCGTATATTAGTTTACTGTACTGAGGTTGCTTCCAGGTTGCTTTAATGCTGGAAGTTACACCACTGATATTTCAAATACCAGCATGGTGGACAGTAGAGCTTTCAGACTAAGCACAGACGAGGAGGAAAGAACAGGTAATCATCCATTTCTGAGAGATTAGTCACTAAAAATGCTATGAATAGAGGCAGAGCACTGTCCGAAATACTGCCAGGAGACGAGCCCCTTCTGGTTGAAAGACACACAAAATGTGGCTCAGGAAGAATTGCTTCCTCAAAGTAAAGTCAGCCTTAATGAAATCGAAGGAGCAAAGCTTTTGCTGATGGGGCATGACACAAAATGAGAAGAAACAGCTGCAAAGATCCAGTAATAACTGACATGTGGAATGTACCATGTATGAAAACAGGAAAATTAGAAGTTGGCCAAAATGAAATGGAACACATTCTAGGCATTATTGATCTGAAATAGACGGATATTGGTCATTTTGAATTGGACAATCATATAGTTTACTATGCCATTGTCAAAAGAACATTTCAAGATCTATATTGAATTACAATGCTGTCTGAGATAGGATAATATCTATATGTCTACAAGGAAGATGAGTTAGTACAACTATTATTCAAATTTATGCACCAAATACAAAAGTCAATGTTGAAGAAA